TGGCTTTGTTTGCCATGGCTCAGCTGGTTTATTACAGGCCGTGGATTCTGTCCTGCTCTTCAAGAAACACAAAGATAAAGCTGATGGCCATTGGTGAGGTAATGTGCTCTGATTTCTGCAGAACCACAGAGTGCTTGATTTGGCTATGTGGAAACTGTCTGAAGCTAGCTCATTGTAACCTCTGACTGCTTACATTCCTCTGCATGGATAGATATGAAATGAGTTAAGATTAAATCCCAAAACTTCATTTTCTTGGCTAAACATTCATGCAGGAGTAAAATGAAAATTGCAAAATCCCACAAGGGGAGCATATCGATAGATGTCTAAAATGCTGGCTTCCTGCAATGAAGACCTTGTAGGGAAGCTACTTTAATCTGTGCCAGGAGTGTTTTCGCAGCTGTTATCACATTTTCTTGATTTTTATTGGTTAAACGTTACTATATTTCAAGGTTTGTTGTCTTTTGAAGGGTGCTGTCTTTTGCTCTGTTTCTTCTCTGATAAAAGCTTCTGCCACTTTCCTGAGAAAATGAAGCCAGAAAAGGCATTAAATCCCCCCATTTTGAAGTTCATCACATTTCATGAAGTTGTAGATGACTTTTTGTGTGGATTGGGTTGGACTTCCCTCCATGGATTGTGTCCATGCCTCAGCAATGTGAGGAGCAGCAGAGAGCCCTTGTGCAGCAGCTGGCACAACAAAACAACTGGACCTGCCTGTAGGAGTCAGAACCTTTCAGAGTGTCTCCTTTGTACATGGGACTTTAACTAGGCTCAACACCTGTTTCCTGCACCACAGCTCCACAGGCATCTTCTAAAGAACACTAGTGATTGTTTTGAAGGTTATCTAAGTGTTCAGTGGTTTAAGATTAAAAGATAACCATACTTGTGAGCACTTACATCTAGGAGCATGGTGTCTGCCAAAAACGAACTAGAAAACTGTTCTTTTCCAGCTGTGCCTCTGATGAGGATGTGGCAGACTTCCTAGTCCTTTCCTCAAGATTCTCCCAAAGGAGACTTCTTTTTATGGTTCTTCATCTCAGAGGCTCAGGGGTGCTGGTTAGTACAGACCCAGTAACATAGGGAATCCCAAAATACACCTGAAAATTAGTGAAGCAAAGACCAAGGAGTGCACTGTAACTGTGGGGGAAGAGTAGTGAAGGTAGTGAAGCAAAACAGCCACTGCCACAGCATTACCCAGTACAGTGGATGTTTTTTAATTATGGAAGAAAGTATGGTTTTGTAAGGTATTTTTTCTTCCTGTGGACTATTTTAAGCAGATATGTATATGCCAAATTATATTCATCTAATGGGGAAAAAGACATCCTTTCCACTCATTAAAAACCAATATCTTAAAATAAAATGTGACAGCAGACAATAGGACAGAAAAAAGTGCCATGGACCTGGAAGAGAGGCAGCTGAGCAATTGCAAGAGACTTTTCTTGCATTTGCAAGTCCCATTTTGGACCAGGAAGATGCTAAATGAAAAATGTGCCCATTGCCAGTCCTCTGGTGACTGGTAAGTTAATTTGGTGGTCCTTGTCTACCTACCAGTGGGTAGAGGGAATCTCAGCAGCCATTTCACCATATGGAGGGCAGGGTTAACAAATCCAAACTCTGCATTTTTCAGTGCCTCTAGTACTGCTTAAAGTCTTGGAGCATTCTCATCCTGCTGTGAGAAAATTTGATACACAGGGTTTGGGTTGCTCAATTCTGCAGCCTGATCCCAGCTCCCTGGCTTTCATGTGTACACTGTGGATGTTCAGGACACAATAAAAATAATAATCAGCTTGTACTTTTTTTCTAGGATGACAGATTGTGTCACAATGGGACACAATCTGTCATCCTAGAAAAAAAGTACAAGCTGATTATTATTTTTATTTTATTCTTTTATTATTATTTTCTTGCTGTTATTTTTCCCCTCTTGCCATTACAAGGCTTGATCAAGTTAATCCTTGCAGAGGTCCTGGAAGTTATTTCTGCTGCTCCATAACTTTGCTAGGACACAGTCTGTCATCCTAGAAAAGGTACAAGCTGATTATTATTTTTCTTTTATTCATTTATTATTATTATTTTCTTGCTATTATTTTTTCTCCTCTTGCCATTACAAGGCTTGATCAAGTTAATCCTTGCAGAGTTCCTGGAAGTTATTTCAGCAGGGTTGTAATTGGATTGCATGAGCCTTTGCCTTTTGCCCTCTCTTCCAAATATCATTTACCAGTATCTGAATCAGTGTAAAAGGAAAAGTAATACTAGCAGAGATGAGGAATTGGCTGTGGCTGCCATGAAACATATCAATGCCCATGTTTCCCTTTGGAGTGATAATGAGACACTGGGGGTTTTTTTCTTTTGGAAAACAAACAAACAAACAACAACAACAACAACAAAAAAAATTGGCTGTGGCTGCCATGAAACATATCAATGCCCATGTTTCCCTTTGGAGTGATAATGAGCCACTGGGATTTTTTTTATTTTGGAAAACAAACAAACAACAACAACAAAAAAACCCAACAATAAGAAAGAGAAGTCACATAGCAGTTTGAAGCTAAGCCTCCTACAGGCTGTTGTTTTGAAAAAACCCTGTCCATCTTGAAACTAGAGACACATTTATTTTTCAGTATTCCCCAGATAAAAACAAACATTTCCACACTTCTAAAGGGAAAGCTCAGTATGACATTCTCAGTGAAACAGTTTGGTGTTTGTAAATAAATAACATTTCCCAAACATCTAGGTATCTTCAGTTCCTCAAAAAATACAGCCTCTGCCAAGCCCACCCCTTGTCAGGGAGCAGTGGGAGCTCCACCTTCACCACATCATCCAAACATCATGTCCATCCCAACATCACCCAGCTCTGTTCTTGTCCCAGGCTCCGGCTGTTCTATCACCTCCCTCTGGTCTGAGGAATACTCCTTGTCAGGGAGCAGTGGGAGCTCCATCTTCACCCCTGTCCATCCCAACATCACCCAGCTCTGTTCTTGTCCCAGGCTCCGGCTGTTCTATCACCTCCCTCTGGTCTGAGGAAGGGGAACAAGGCCTTTTGCTTCCAGGACTGACATTTATCCTGGGAGTAGTTGAGCTGGCAGGAGAGTCACCAAGACTGCCAAATCTGCCTGGGTAAAGGGAGGCAATCGGAGCTGCCCCTGTCCCTTCACTTAGGCAGGATGGCTCTGAGCATGGTACTCTGAAGCTGCCAGGCAGCTCATGGCTGTGATGGTCTTTCACCAGCACGTGAAACTGCCCTGTGCCTCTCAGCCTCTGAGTCTGCCTTCCGGCATCCAACATTACCTTTGTCCTGTGCACAGCTCCCGAGGTTGCTGCACAGCCAGCAGAGAGGAGAGAGCACTCAAAGCACAGTTATTCCCAGGACCCAAGTTATTTCCACTTCATTCCCCTCCTAAGGTTTCTAAAAGCTATGAACTGTTGGTACCGTCTGAGGTCTTAAGGGACACAAATACTCTGTTCACCCTGTGTTTGCAGTTCATTGGAATTGTAGGATTATCTCCAAAGGCTTAAACAGTCTGAATGCCATTCTGGCAGAGCTGGGATGTATTTTGCATGTTGCTGTATGGATTGCTGTAGTGAGACTACTTCCCATGGGCCATTCTCTCATGTTTATAGCCCCGGCTGCACTGGTGCAGATAAGAATAAATGGCCTCAAGTTACACCAGGGGAGGTTTAGATTGGATATTAAGAAAAACTTCTTCACTGAAAGGGTTTTTGAGTGCTGGAACAGGCAGCTCAGAGAAGTGCTGGAGTCACCATTGCTGGAGGTATTTAAAAGACAGGTAGATGTTGCACTAAGGGACTTGGTTTAGTAGTGGACTTGGGCTGTGCTGGGTTAACAGTGGGACTTGATCATCTTAAAGGTCTTTTCCAAAATAAATTCTGTCATCCTATATTTAAGAGCCACAGGGTACTCACAAGACAGATAAACGATTTTTAGGTGGACACTACAGTTGTTGGGCTGATTCCATCTGACTGCTGCTCCAGTGAAACCCACTGATGAATGTATTTTTGGACACCTCAGGGATGTCAGGAGCTGGGTGACTGCTGGAGGTGCCGAGTACCCTCCATTCCCTGTGGTGCCACCAGGAGCTGGGCGTGGTGCTGAGCTGGACAGTGTGCAGGCTGGAGGTGGGAGCAGAAGGCCAAGGTCTCTAAACATCTGGATGAAGCAGATATTGTCACTACATGCTTTGGGGTAGTCCTGGCACAGGAGCTGCCCACTGTCCATTGGTTGATATGGGCACTAAGTTTGTCTCCCCTGACAATAAAAGAGAGGGAATTTTCTGTGAAAGATTATGGGTTTGCAGCTAATCTGAAATAGTTTATATCTTGTAGCAGTGATGCAAAAGACTACTGTTCAAAAGGGTCTTTGGGGAGCTCCTGGAGTGCTTTCCCAACACAGGAGCTGCCACAAGGAGAGTCCCTGGTGTCTGTCTGTCTAACTTCCTGTTAGAATGATTAACGCTGCTGGAATGTCAATGCATTTGCCATAATGTACTCTCACAGCCAGGGTCCTGGGCAGAAATCTTTTATTGTTACTCAGTCTAAACAAAGAAAAAAAAAATCCTGCTGATTTTTAGTTAAGCTGAGGTCAGCCAGCATCTTCCCCATCTAATGCATGTAGGCCTTTAAAGGCTCTCTTCCTGCTGATAACTCTTCAGAGACAAATTGGGAACTTCAAGCTATTACTAAATATTTGGTTTTCCTCAACAGTAAAAGTAGCAATGTTTCTCAAGCCTGGGTGAGCAATCTGTCTCTAAAACACATTTTCATGCCAGGCTCTTAGTGGCTCCAAAATCACATGTCCCTTCCATTTAATTTTCAAAGGATCTGTGTGCATGAACCAGGCAGGTAAAGTGTAGTGAAGGAGAGCTACACCATGTGTTTTCAAGACCATAATGCTTTTTTTTGTAACTCTGAGACATCCTAGAAGTGAAGATTTTGTTGTTGTTGCTCTGAAAAGTGGTTTCACCAGCTGATTGTTCACCATTCCTATGCAGATGGGCAGGGAGCAGGAGCTCACAGTGGACATCCAGAAGGCTACCCCTGGCTTAGTCACTTGTGGTCCTGCTGCAGCCAACAGAGAAAACTCCCACATTACTGAATTCTCGTAAGTTGAGTTGCTAAGTGGAGTGTGTTTGTGGAATCCTGCCACATCTCCCAGGTGTGCTGTTTGGGGTGGGATGAACTGCAGCCCAGCAGTTCCTCGGGCTGTGAGGGAACACACACACAGATGCATCTGGCTGCATCTGCACAGCTTCTCCAATCCCTCCTGTTCCACAGCCCTCTGATGGTCCAGGCTGGTGTCACTTGTCAGTTTTTGGTTATCTTTTCAGCAAGGAAATGAACCCAAGACATCAGGACTGCCTGAGAGCACATTGCTGTGCTGGTGTACCAGTGGAGGGAATCTGTGATGTAACACTGAAAATGCCTCCAAGCCTTTCCCCAAATTTAATAACCTTGCAGTGAACAAGTGCTGATCAAAAAGAGAATGTTCATCTAAGACAACCCTTCTACAGGTTATGCATTTTATCAGTTTTGTTTGTTTTTTTGGTGGGCTTTCTCTTTTCTTACTGTGCATAAAGGATTCAAATGAAAGCTACATTTTTTGTAATATATGAAGAGCCTGTTAATCTTTGAGAATAAGAACCCAATAAATTTTGCAACTATATTTGTTGACATGATTGGTTTTTTGTATTAAAAATTTGTTTTGTGTCAGTCGTTTTTCCTCTGCTTCCTTTGCTAGGAAACTCAGGGGAAAATTTCCATTATATATATGAACTTGATAGCTAGTTACAAAAATAAAAGCAGATGGCACCCAAGCAGAAGTACCAGATGTATATTTCTGCATCTTTTGTATGGATCAAGACACTCAGGAACAAAAATTTCTGTTGTTTACAGTAGAGAAGTTAATTACCCATATTTTAAAATTCAGAACTTTTCTCTGTATTTATATATATTCTTGTCAGTACATCAAAAATTGAACCCAGGTCATTGGCAAACATGCAACTGTCACATTCCCAAACTGGCCTGGGCAGGCAACCTCCTGGGGTTAGATTTTCAGGCAAGTGCCCTGGGTTGCAAAAGTTTTTTATTCAGTTGAGGGTTCTGGCTTTATCTTGTGGGCAGACTGGGCAAATGCAGCTGCAATAAGGACTGCATAGGAGGAAAAGGATGTTTATATTTTCCCCTGTATTCTCTCTGAGCTTTCCACCTAGATATTTAGGCGTGTGACTCTCCAGCTACTTTATTGCAAGTCCAACTTATTGAGGTTTGTTTAATATCCAGCTAAAATAGTTCATTTTAGCTCAGTTGGAACTTCAGATCTTTTGTTCTGAAATCCCTTTCTTGAGCTGCTGTGGTTTTCTTTTTTAAACAACTCATCTGGGAGACAAGGACCTGGTGCACTCCTGTCATGTAGGTTTTCTCTGCATGGAGAGATCAGCTTTTGCATTGACAATCATAACCAAGATACAAATGCATTGTAAAATAAAGTTTGTTGATTTTGTGGGGGGTTTTGTGGTGTTTTGGTTTGGTTTGGTTTTGGGTGGGTTTTTGTTTGTTTGTTTGGGTTTTTTTTGTTTGTTTGTTTTTCTTGCAGACTGAGATACATGGTTTGAAACAGCAAAACCAGAAGATCTGGAAGGCTTCACTGTGTGTCTGATGTACATAAAATTTCTACGTTTTTTGAGGTTTGGAAGGAGGACATAACTAGGAATTTATATGACTAGGGGTGTTCAAAAGCTAGCCCTGAAAGTAACACCCTACACCTGAGTTTCCTGTATTTTGTGAAATGCCTTGGATTAAATTAAAAAGGCTCCTTCTGAGCTATTTTTTTGTGCAAACATGCAGTAGCTGCAAGGTGAATTTTTTGTTTCAAAATAATTGTGAAGATACACTCTTCTTTCAATGGTACATATGCTAACAGAAGGAAAAAAACACTACTGCAAGTAAGGATTTGGCATTTCTAATTGCTTTTTAACCTTCTCCAGCCCAAAAATGTGTTAGGTCGCTGCCTGACTTCTGGAATTTGGATACAAGAAAATAATTTTTGTGGAGTAAATTTGTATCGCTTCCCAGTGAATGTTGATACGTAAGAGGTATTTTGGCCTTTTCAGAGCATTCAGGAAAATAACTTTGTAAATGCTTGGGTATACATGAGAAATTTCTGGCTCTATCACCAATAGGAGTATTCAGGAGAGCTAATTTTTCATTTAGAGAGTAAATTAAAAACAGATAAAAATTTTAACCCAAACTGTGCTGTAAACCTTGATATCAGTGTTCTGTTTTTAGCTTTATAAATTGTCCATGAAATGTAGAAATCCAGGGACTCACATTTAAAGTGAACTGCTACAATGGATGTTTCTCCTTGGGTAATTTTCCCTTGCTGGGCAACTTTGTCCTTGGCCCTGCTTTTTGAACAAATGGCTATAAATCAGAAGTAATGCTCGTGAAACCTATGAAACAGCAGGATAAATAAATATCAAAGCTTTGCCATCATGTTGTAAATTTAGTTTGCCTTGTCCTTTCATTTTTAGGAAGGTGCTTCTGGAGATAAATGCAAACCCACCAAAATCAAACGGGTTTGATGTCACTGAGACCAGCGCAGCGTGGCAAAGATGGATTTGCCTCTGTGTCCATCTGCTGTAAATAAACTTGCTCCTTTCTGGAGGAAGTCTCCTTCTCGGAGCTCGGTGCATCCGCGGCCTCTTCCCTTTTCTCGGCAGCCCCCGGGTGTCTCGTTACTGCTTCCGTGCAGGAAGCACATGACGCGGCGTGTGCCGGCCATTGGGTGGAGAGGAGGGACAGATGATGCTCTGTGGGCACGGCGGCGGTGAAACCCGAGCTGTGCCAGCCATGCTCAGCACGGGATGAGTTTGGGCCGTTCTCTGAGGTTAGCAGCTGGCAGCAGCTGGAAGCAGGCGAGGGTGCAACAGCAGGGAAAGGAAGAATAGGCCAACAGAACCTGTTTTCATCTGGTTTTAAGGAGTAAATGCTGTCTTTGGATGGACTTTGAGATCATCCAGATTTCGAAGGGAAAAAATGTTAAATGAAGCCAGATGTAGATCAGTGTTTGTACCTTATTGCAAAAGAACAAGAATAATTTAGGATGCTAATGCATCTATTCCACCAGCCAAAGTGTGACAGCCCTTTCCCTGAGCTAAAGCCAACCCACAGCCTGTGCCAGAGATCATGAAGGGCCACTGCTGCAAGCACTGGCACAGTCTCAGCTGTGTTTTCAGCACACAGTGTGTAATATGGATATACATTCCACAGCCCTTTCCCTGATGCCAAAGATCATGAAGGGCCTGTGCCAGAGATCATGAAGGGCCACTGCTGCAAGCACTGGCACAGTCTCAGCTGTGTTTTCAGCACACAGTGTGTAATATGGATATACATTCCTAAAGTCAAAGCCAGTTGTTCTGTTGCCTTGATAATGTTTGTTTCAGTTCCCACTATACTTCTTCCTCTTGAGGTCCTGTTTTTAAAAAAAAGATCCATTGCTACAGTACTTAGAACAAGTCAGATAGAGAAATGGAGATAAATTTACCAAGCATCTGATCTTACAGAGGAAAACTAAAAATAAATCAGGCTTTCTTTTTTGGCATGAACGAGAGAGGCAAGAAGGGCCTGAATCTGACATAGGTAACTTTAATTTTAAACAGCAGATTTCTTGCACACAACTGTTATCTGCAAATTCAGGACTACTTGCAGTAGTCTCTCAAATTCCATGGTGCCTGCAATCATCACTACTGTTGCTCAGCTAAGTGCTCAGGGAAAGCAAACATAGCCAAATTAATAGTTTGAAGCATGTGTCCATATTATTATCCATACTGTAAATAAGATCAGGAGCTGTGGCTTACATAGGTCAACTGGTCTTGAGTAAAATACCAGCTCCTAATTAGTGAGGGTACTTAAGACTGGTGGCTGAGTGTATCCACAGCCCAGACAGATCTGATTAGGCTCTGACATACCCATGAACAATGTGCAGTGTGTTATTTGCTGAACATGTTCCAAACGATTTCCCACAGAAAACAGTAAAAAACTATTAACATTGTTAGCAAACTTAAATATTTCTGTATTTTCTTGTTACACTTTGGAGAATAATCTGTCTCTTTATTAGGGGACACTGCCTGCAGCAGCAGAATTGCAAACAGTGACAGGGGCTGCCAGACACTGCTCCTGTGCAGACATGATCCAGGCAGGGTTTGGAGGAAGATTGCTTACTGAAGTGATATCTATCCCCCTCTGCACATGAGCCAGACAGCCAGTTTTCTGGGGTATGTGTCAAATCAAATTTCAGAGGTTGAGCGGAAACAAGGAATGTTTTGCCTGCGGCTCTGGAGGCAATGAAGGACTGGGGTGGATGCACACGCCCTGATAATGCTGTGTAGTGGCCACCTTCTGCTGCAGTTTGGGCCTCTGTCTCTGCCCATCCATCTCTTATCACTGCAGTACAAGTCTCTGCAGCACCACTGTAAAGAGACAAATCATAATACGGCAGGGGAAGGCGCTGGATTTTCCCAGGATGTGCTGGAAGCGATGTGGCCTATGTGTCCCTGGCACAGATGGTGCCGCAGCCGAGGTGCCCTGCCTGTGGCCAGGAAGAGGGCTGAGGGATGAGCCACAAAGCACCAGTCTGTGCCCACCCAGCCTTGCCTGGGCCGGGCACACCAGCCGCCAAAAGGGTTACAGGAAGGAAGTGACGCTGCTCCTTCCTTGGAGATGTTGTGGGCATTATTTACATCATTACTATCGCCCAGACATTCTCCCGCAGCCAGCAAAAGTCACACAGCCTTTGTAAGTTCCGTTTAAAATGTGAGCCTCATGTGTGTGCACATAGACCACTCAGATGTTGGGATGTGGGGATTAAAGCGGAGCAGGACAGGAGCAGGAGTGCAGGGATTGTGCAGATAAGGAACCACGAGAAAGATGGACAAAGAAAACGGGAGAAGAGGTGTGAACAAAACAACTATCTCTATCCTTATCTATATCTCTATCATCTCTATCACCTCTATCTCTGTATATCCACACACACACGCACTCCCAACACTTCCAGCAGCCCGGACTGCAGTCCCTGCCCACCGAGCCCCCCGCGGCCGCAGCAGCGCTGCCGGGCCGGCCCCGCCCGCCCTCGGGGCCGCCTCCCGCTCCTCCCGCCGGGCTCGGTGCCGGGCCGGCCCCGGGGCGGGGGGGGGGGGGGGGGGGGGGGAGGCGATGCTGCCGGCGGGCGGCGGGCGGCCGGAGGCGCGGCTGGAGACGCGGCTGTCGCGGCGGCGGCTGGCGGTGCTGGCCGTTTTCAGCTGCTACTCGCTGGTGAACGCCTTCCAGTGGATCCAGTACAGCATCCTCAGCAACGTCTTCGCCGGCTTCTACGGCGTCTCCTTCACGCAGATCGACTGGCTGTCCATGGTGTACATGGTGGCCTACGTGCCGCTGATCCTGCCGGCCACCTGGCTGCTGGATGCCCGCGGGCTGCGCCTCACGGCGCTGCTGGGCGCGGGGCTCAACGCGGTGGGCGCCTGGCTCAAGTGCGGCAGCCTGGCCCCCCAGCGCTACCCGCTCACCCTGGCCGCCCAGGCCGTGTGCGCCGTGGCCCAGGTCTTCATCCTGGGGCTGCCCTCCCGCATCGCCTCCGTCTGGTTCGGCCCCACCGAGGTCTCCACCGCC